AATAAAACAGTTTCGAATCGACCAGACTTTTTTTAAATAGTGTCAATATTAGCAACTTTTTTTTTTTTAATTTTTTATTCTTTTTAAATAAACTCGGCAAATTTCATTCTAAATTTAATTCTACAATAAATTGTTTTTCGATAGGAGAACAAAACGTATACTATTTGCTTTGACTAACCGCTCTGGGATTACACTACAGAGTTGAAATTTTTCCACTCACCCACTAAGAAATGGTTTTTAGATATTTCACCCCTAAGGGGGTAAAATGAGGGATGAACGTTTGCATTGGAGTTCGTCATTTTCCAACTTAGGAACACGTAATAAAAAATAATCAAGCGAGAGGAGCTGCGGGATTAATACCTAGTCGAAATTGCCGCTGCTAAGACGTCACACAACAAAGCACACCGTGACGTCACTGCCACTGCCGTCAGCTGCTATTCGCCACCCGTCACCATTGCGAACAATATTTTAAATTTAAGATGTACTTACGTAACTTAAGCGATAACTTACTTAGATAAACGATCGGACCGGATTTACCAGTCTAGTATTTGACAAGACGTGGATATTTCGACGATGTATGTTTACCTACTAACCAAGGTTATTAGGTAAATAAAAAAATTATTAATAATGCCACGCTAATTAATTGGTATTTTTTTTAACAAACCTTAATAAAAAATGGGTTAGGTTCTCTATTCGGTTGTTTTTTTTTTTTCTTTTGCTTACATTTCCAAGAAGGGTCGTTGACGAACAGGTTGCCGTCATTAAAAGAAACCAGTGAAAGGCTTGAAGCCCTCTTCAACCTCGCACATTGTGCCGACCCATAATAAAAAGTTGAAATAGGTAGGTAGGAATTATGATGGTCAGATTTTGTAATTTAGTTTTTTGGAATATGTTTTCGATCAATAATTATTACTTTAAGACCTTAATAATTCTGTAATATCTGGTTTATTTCGTAATCTTTTAAAATAAATATTAAGAACGTGTAAATTTTAAATGTTGCCAAAGAAAGTGACAGTTGAGATTTGAGTTAAATTTTAAATTTTTAAATCAACGATAATCTGACGATAACGGCCCTCTGATAACAAAACGGTTAAAATTCGACCGCCATGATCATCTCTAGTGATTCTAGAGATCTCATTCTGTTTTAGACATTTATTTTTCGTCGCACCAACGCAGTAGTGACGGCACTCCACATCATAAGCTTGCATGCTCACCATAGTCACCATAAGTGACTTTACGAGAGTAAGTATAAATATCTTGCTGTGATGAACCGACCGAGATGAAAATCGATAACGCTGAAAGTTGAAGCTACGTCTGAATTACTTAGCAGCAGATAAGATAAGAGGAAGAGAAGAAGAAGTAATTAAGATAAGAGATTAAATATTAAAACGCCTTTAAAAGCTTGGTAGAAATATGTACGTATGTAACGGAATCTTCGAATGTAATTTGACCACTTCAAAACGTACAATTAAATTGAAACTGCACACTAATCCCGACTGCAGACTGATGACACTGCAATAATTTAAATAGTTTGTCCCATTATCCTGATCAGGACCTTCAGTATTAACGGCTTTTTTTGTGCCTAAAATACGGTAGTGTCTTTTGCCACGTACAAAAATGTGTGCTGAAGCGATGTGATAAACTTATATGTTACTTTTCTAGTGTTAATAAGAGAATAATCACTTTAAATTATTAAAAAACGGAGACATAAATTATACTTAAAAAATAAAACTAAAAAAATACGCTTTTGCAGCTAGCCGAACTAAAAAGTAGGCAATAAGTGGGGTAATAAGTGGGGCTATACTTATCTCAATTGTTGTAAAAATATTTTACTGGCAGATATTGGTAAAAGTAAAGTTATTGTATTATAAAATACCTTGAAAAGCACCCCACGCTTTTTTACGATAAAATGATTTTTCTTTTTACTTATAGAACTTATGGAAAATTATTTCCCACTTTTTAGTTCGTCGGCTACCTACAAAAGCGTATTTTTTTAGTTTTTTAAACTATAATTTATTTAGTAACGGCACTTAATACTATTACGGAAATCCCGGTCCGCATTGTTTTGAGTATAGTATAGTAGGTCAAAACCTCCTTTCTGAGGAGAGGCCTATATTTAGGAACATAAGCGACTGTTGATGATGATGATTAAAATGAAAGGTATAAGGGATGGGAAGAATAAAAGTAGGAAGGGAAATGATACTAAAGGAATATTGAGGCAATTGAACGAAACTCTGACGTTATTTAATTTTGCAAGTCTTTTGTAGATTAACCGAGAGTAATATGTAGAGCAGGTATTCTACTCGAAGCTAGTGCGAACTTTACACATATACCTTTTTTTTTCTTGTTTTTTCTGAGCCGAAATCCCCTCGCATACCACCTACCGGTGGCGATGTAAGACTCGAACCGACTAAAAACCGCATGCCGTCTCGGGTACCAGTAGCCGGGGAACCAGGTGTACCCTAGAAAGGAAATCCCTGGTACCCCGACGTACCTCGAGCCATCTACGGCGGGTTGACGACCCCCTCCTGTGTGGGAACCCCGTGTTCCCTTGGTGCTCCCAAAACGGCACGCGTGCTCCGCAACGCGTCTCGCCGCCACCCCGGCCTGCTTCTGCTAGGGTGACAGATGGATTCACCTGTCACGGCCTGCGCTTATGGAGGACGGAGGTCGTAAACCTACACACATACCTGGCACGGGATCAAACCATAGTCAAAAATTGATCAGATATTGACCTACAAGGCCCGAGGGCTTGTTCAGATGTAAAGAGCCTTTCCTTATTTAAAACAAAAGTAAAGAAAAAGACAGTGATACAACAGTAATAAAAGTATGTATTGTCTCAGGGGAACGATAATGTAGACGCGCATAAAAGTTTATTTACACATAAATCTTTTATAGAAATCTAGATTTAGAGTTCATTGGTTTAGCCATAAAAGCGTAACAGTTTATCCGTAAAAGTAACTCCGTATGTCTCTTACATACGGAGTTACTTTCGCATTTACAATATTAGTAGTGATAACACTTTAATATTATTGAAGCATCACAAGCCTGCTTACGCCATTTATATTTGAACAAAATATTTTAAAACGTGAGGGCTATACATATCTATACATATAATATCTAGATAAGTTAGCTAGCGAGGTCACAACTGAATACAGTTTTATCACTAATCAAAATGAGCGAAATTGAACTTTTTACCGTAAGCAAAAAGTCCATTTTTATGTAAATGTAGATAGTAGTTGGGGTTACGTTTCCTCACATTATGAATTGCGTGTTCGCACAAACCACTTACATACGACTTTGTGTAGATATTTCCTTTGACGACAAGCAAAACGAAACGAAAACTCGGTTTCGTCCCTATTTTTTTTTATATTATCTACTTTGCCTTATACATATATTTAAATTTCTTTACAAGACATTATAATTTAAAAATATATACGCATGACCAAAATAATTTGCATTATATTTTGCATTGAGACTGTTCTAGAATACACAAGTAGCTTACTAACATAGCTCTGGAGCGAACTCAAAAGACGGCAGTGCATTCATTGAATTGCAGGTGTTCATGGGCGTCAGTAGTCCCTTACATTCAGGCGACCTGTTTGTCCTCAATGCCAAAAAAATGCTCCCATCTAGAGTTAAGTATCTGATTTTGAAAACGAAAACATTGATAAGCTTTTTCAAGTTATTTATTCCTTTAGCACCCTACTAAATAGTACTGAACAAGATAACCATTGTTAGGTGGTAATGTATTTTTAAATTTCCTCTGATAATGGAAACAAACATTACAAATCGTCAAGAGTCCCCTACTAAATTTCGCATTTAGGCATGTCGCCGTGTTTCTCGAATTGACTCGTGAAACATCTCGAAATTGCGTTACATCAATTGAATGAAACAGCCATTAATATTTTGAATTGCAAACATTTACTGCTTTTTAAAGATGTTTAATTAGAGCTGGCAAGACTATAAAATATTTATAATATGCAAGGGAGATTTAAAACGGACAAATTAATAAACATATTAAAAACAAATAAATCTGTTTGCTGTGTCGACGAATTTATGTCATTATATCTTTTACACATTAACATAATCTATATGAAATAGGTTTTTTCTGTCTTATTCCATATGCTCATGCTAGTGAGATATACAAACCATAAAGTACCTACTGAAAGATATGAAATACAGAATATATATTATTACTACTAAATCATAATTATTGTTATAAGTAAAAAAAATAGTTCAATGGTACGAGCTGACTGAGTAAAATAAAATTAGGTTTATGTAACTTATGTTTATAAATTAAACAAGCACGTTCGAAAACAGAAGTTCATGGTAGGGGATGTCTGACTATTTTTTATCCCAACAATTGATTTCATACAACCTTTACATACGCGGTATTGTTTCATAACCAGAATAAAGAGCAGCAGCAGTTAAAAGAGCTGGTTATGAGGCAGCTGTTGTTAACTATGAGTCAAAAACGTAATTTAACTATTAGTACTTTAGTGAAAATTAGAACGAAAGACTCTACTGTCCAACACGTATTTACTAATCTTTCACCTAAAACACTCACTGAAAACGTCTACAACTTCATAAACAAAACGTTCTTATCCGCGTTACGTCTATTTTTGTGTATTAATTAACAGCGTTGCAATACGTCCAACCGCCTCAGCGTGTACATACGAAATGGTTTTCGACTGACAGGACAGAGCGTTCAATAAAATTATTCTATCTCGTTTGCGCCGTTGATCGGTCGGGCTGCGGAAAAAGGAGAGCAAGTGTCTCTGTCACAGCCGCACTCACGCTTTTCGTTCCAATGTCGCTTCGAAGCACTACGAGTCGAGACGAACGTGGTATTCTCGCCATTTTGTTTTCAAACGTTGACGTGTTTGCAAGTGCAAACGAAAATGTGAAAGTGAACTCTTTATTTTATTTACTAAGAACGTGTAAAATTGTTATATGACGGTGACTCAAAACTGGCAGCTCGGTGATTCCTGCATACTATGGGTAATATATAATTATTTCTGTAGTAATAGTCGTTTTAAAATGTTCCAGCTTGATCAGATAGTTTCATTTCATTCAGAGCGACACACGAGGAGAGACGTCAGTCTTGTGTAAGGGTTGCCCGTGAGAGATTTTAATACAAGTCTCGAAGCGATTTAAATTTAGGGGGATTATTAATAAGCCAATAAATTCGTATTAATTATTTAGGTTTTTATTGTTTATCGTTATAAATTTTTATTTTAATGACCGCTTCCAAAACGATTCAAACCATTTTTTTTCTCTGAATATATCATACGACGACGATATTTTTGTGTATTGCTTTTTATGGTTCTTTTTTATAACATCAGTCTGGTACAGTTTATAATAGTCCAAAAAAAATCATCGTTAAAAAGGGCAGCTTTTTTGTAACTTTCTTTAAGTGTAGTTAATTACGCAAATTATTTTAGTAAAGTAAAATTGCACAATATAACGCAAAGTAATACTTAGTATTTTATAAACTAGTATTACCTTAACTTCTTCCGAAATATTGCCCTCATTTGAGATGCCGTACTTGCCTAACTTACTGTTTATTATATTTTTTGTTTTACCTATTTAGGTTCATATACCTTGATTAAAAATGCAAATACAAATTCGTATAAAAATTGAAGGGATAAAAATAGATAATGGATATTTTACCTGCATATTTTATTATTTAATGCATGTAGTAGTAACTAAGACTTGCGACCTTTCATCTCCAAGATTGATTTTAACAGAGAACAATTCCATAAAAACGTTAATTTTTTACACGATGACTTAATTCCTAATCAAATTCTATATTTCAGAATAACCATATAGCTATTACTGTAAGTAGAAATGATAAAAGTTCTAAAGTCCATTTATCATTTTGAAAAAATATACCCAATTTATTTCACCACGCATGTTAAACGCGGTCGCTCACCAAAGCCTGAAGTGAGTTGAAGTGAGGTTTGTGTTAGATAACACATTGTCATCTAACACACAACGCCACACATTGCAAATTATCGTAGGTCAAGTGTTGCCATTTCTAAAACTATTAAAGTAAGTAGGGGAACTGCGAATAGTTTTGTTTAATAAAATTTAAATTCAGTTTAGTAAATGCTTTAAAAATGTAGTACTCTTTTAAGCGTAGCGAAGTAGCGTATTAAATTTTGTCATATTTCATTTGGTCCCACTGATTTAATAGTCAAACTGTTCGGCTTTCACTAATTAACTTCACCTTACCGCACACTGCGGTAAATCTTAGTTCTATATATTTTTAATTACCGTTGCTACCCTATACGGCAGGGAAGTGATAACATTAGTTACGCGGGAAAGCCATACTTTTCCCATAACTCAAACGCACTTGTGCCTCTTGAATTACAAGTGTCCAGGTTACCATCAGGTGAACCGTTTGCCCCCCATACTACAAAAAAGTCAACACTGGTTTTGCGAATGTATGGTTATGGTCGTAAATAATAGTATCAAAAATTTATTGATGTCACGCGAATTAACTCTAACTGCATGTATTCTATATTTCGTTATATTTATATCCTTTATTAAATTAAGTTTTATAAAAATTGAATCCAATAAACAAGTTTTACTCACAAATAATTAATTTATTTATTTAAGGATCTTCAACAAGAATATCACATAGCTTTCACAGAGAATAATAAATTATTAATTTGAAAATGTAACTATAAAAATATGATTTTGTTAATTTTATTATCTTATTATCCAGAAAAGAAAGTGCATTTAAGAGGTAGCAAATCCGAGGCAAAAGCTGGTGGTACAAAAATTAACTGTGTAGACAATTAGTGCTTTTTTTTAATCTTTGGCCTAATTATCAAAAGTTTTAAAGAAATTGTTTAAAAAAAATGTGTTCCCACTTATAATTAACTCAAACGCACAATAATTTACAAATTAAAATCATATCATTCATGCTGGTTTGGGAATGTCATATTATATGTTATTACCGATATGATTCGCGGAAAACGAATAATTGGACTGGCAACACCACTTACCAAACTTCAAATTAGTGAAATATACCAGTCATACGTCATACCAGATGATATATTTTCATGATTTAATTTTCTGCTATCGAAATTGATTTTCACTTGATTATTTTGTATGGCAGAAGGAATGCCTATTGGTAGCTGAATTTACTATCTCGTAGGCCAGTTTCTAATATCTGTACAGGACTTATATTCATATTAAATTGCTTTATTTAAAAAAATATGCGATTATCCATAACAATCAGATAATTTTTTTTTTTAACAATATAAACTTTACTTTTCAGTAATTTTAGTTTACTTTTATATAATAACATTTTATATTTAACATTTTAGATCTTAGACACAATTGACGAATGTTTTGTTTGACACAGCTGTTTGCAGTTTTACCAAATTTATTTAAATAATTGTTTTGAATACCTATACACCCAATTACCATCATTTTAAGGTAACTATCTGATTTTACAAGCACTTCAAAAGCGTTCTTATGTTTAAATTGAATTAAACAATAACTAAACAGGGGATGTTATTTTGAGTTAACTGTATTAAGTTTGTAAAACAATTACTTAAGAGAAACTGTGTATTTATAATAATTTCCTAAATTATAGGGCACATATCTCTTTCTTTTACTTGTACAATTCATTTATTTTTACCAACTGGTTTAAAATTAGACTTTTTGTGTTGCTTTTGCTTTCTCTGATAGAATGAAAGTTAGTCGTTGCCTGTTGGTTCAAGTGGTCTAGTCAAAAACAGACTTTATATGTTTATATAGACTAATAATTAAGGTATTTACCTTAATTATTACTGCAGTATGTATTATTTAGGTAATTGTGTGTGTGGTCATTTGTCTATGGTATTATTATAATAGTAATGTAATGAAATAATTTAAGTTAAAAAAAAAGTATTCTTTGTGCAGTAGTAGACCTTATATATAATTGTTTAGAGTAATTAAGTAGTAGTGGAAGCAAGAATAGTGTTAGCAAGTCATGGAAGTTGGCCTATAACACTTGTAGTTTACTGTATCGGAAGATACATATTTCCTGACTTTGGTGAATAAAAATAAATTTACCAAGTTAGATGAATAATGAAATCTTTTTATTTTGTTATTTTAACCTTCTTCTCTTCATTTAAGACTGACAACCAATTGGAATAACAAATAGCAATATGATATGTCTTATCAGCAGTATGTTTAAAGATTTAAAATAACTAGTTAATTCAATAGATGTATTGATGGTAAGCCTAAAATAAATATAAATGAAGAAAAGATATTTACTAATTTATTTTCCCTTGAGAAAAATAGGGTTTATTATCCTTGAGTCGCGTCATTGCAAACACCAATCAGGGCCTCAATTCTGCTATTTACGCCAAGCCAGTGTCATACCACTGACACGCTATTGAGATGCCATCGAGTGGCCATTGGCATCAGTATAAATGTGGTAGTTGAAAATATGTTTTTTGAGAAAATTATTTATTTATATTTATTATAGTAAATTATTAAATGAAATAAACAAATTAATTAAATTATTAAAAAAATTTAATTATAAAAAAAAGAAATAAAAAAATATTGAAATGAAAAAACAAATAAATAAAATAAACAAATCATTTCCTTATAATTTGAAAATATATTTATTTTAATATTATTTTATTTTTTTATGTTAATAATTTATTTATTTCTTTTTTTTTATAATTTTTATATTTTAATTTTTCATAATTTATTTTAATTTATTAATTTCCTTTAATAATTTATTATAATAAAAATAAATATATCATTTCCTCAAAAAACGTAATATATTTTATTTATTTTTTTATTCTAATAATTTATTTATTTCTTTTTTTTAATTTTATTTTTATTTATTTATTTCTTTTAATAATTTATTATAATAAAAAAAAACAATTTCTCAAAAAACGTAATATATTTTTAACTACCGATATTTATACCGATGTATATAATAGCGTGTCAGTGGTATGACACTGGCTTGGCGTGAACATAAAATAGCAGAATTGAGGCCCAGAACATGTGTCATTTGTACATGTGAACATTTGTAATCGTACAATTTTGACTGGTTGTTAACTTATCGGCTGCAATTTTTATTTTGTTTTTAGTTGGCGCGAAAAGGGGAAATAATAATTTGGTATAGATAAGTGATTTGATTTTGTGAAAATCAATTCAAGTTTTTTGTTCATTATATTCTTAGTGAAAACAGAAAAGTTAAACTTTACACAGTTAAACTTACAATAAATCCTTTTTGAATACAAAATATAAAGTACTCTCTCGAATGATTACGTCATTCGTAGTCACGTCACCATAATGCCATGTGTTTGTGACAAATTTTCCTTTGCAGTGTTGTTGTCGTTGTCCCGCGCAGTTTGCTCTTACAAGTTACAACACCCACGGGATGAACAGGGGTGGTGACATTTCATATTCTTTTTATTTTTTTTTCTTTTTAATTTAATTTAAGGGTAAAATATTGAATTTAAAATTTTATTTATTCCTCATTTTCCTGTTAGACCTACAGTCTGAAGATCAATTTTCGTAAAACAAATTTGTTCAAAATTTAGCTTAAATTTTGACACAATATACAAACCGTATCAAAGATTGTTTGAATCATTTGTATTCTACATTTATCATCAAAACAACCATAATGTGCCACAGCGATGCTTGGCAGGATAGGTACAGCTAGTATTAGTATAAAAGACAAAGACAAAGACATTTATTGCAAATAAAACTGTGTTACATATATAGATGTTTTGACGCCATTTATGAGTAGGTACACTAAACCCTACACTATTGATTACTAATTGGTAGACATTCGTATACACATGTGCAAGCTATTACATCCGTGACAGCGGTAAGTCAATAGAGAGCTTTTGTATGATTGCATCAGTGTGCATCTTGTCATTAAAAATTTACCAAACATTATTTTCTTGTCTTTTTTCTTTTTTAAAAAGATATCGCCCTCATTAGGAATATATCCTGTGTCGCAGGGACTTTACAAA